AAAGAAAATAAAAGGACAGGACTCGACAGAACATATGGTGTTCTGGGCCTACGTATTCCCTCGTGCAATGGGAAAGTCAGAGTCAACGTAGTTCGACTTCCTACGTCTAAACGGGGGAAAGGTTGCTCGCCAGGACATCGCGTCCTGTGCCTACGTACTTCCATCTGAAATGAAAGATCAGAGCAAACGTAGTTCGGCTAACTACGGGTAAACAGGGGCTCTCACACAGCAGTGAGAAAACAAACTAGTCTCTAAGGCTCGGGAACCTACAACTACGATCTGGTCTCAAATGCACTCGGGCAGGAGAAAGGGATAACAATTAGTCGTTAGCGGGAAAGTCTCGATCGCACAGCCGCGAGAGAACAAAGGTTAGTCGTTAGTGTGCTCGCTAGGATATCGCATCCTATGCCTACGTATCTTCGTCTGGAACGAAGAATCAGAGCAGCTGTAGTTCAGCTAACTACGGGTCAAGCTACTCAAAAGCTCCTACAGAAAGGAAAGGGAAACCCTAGAACTATACCTGAGAAACAGGGGAATCTACCTACTGCTATCACACCTGGTTGACCATCCTAATGTCTATCATAACAACTCCGCAGCGGAGAAGTCAGAGCTCCTAAGGGATCATGGCAACAGGATTAAACCACAAACGAGAAAATGCAACGTAAAGGAATACTGAAAATATGCATGAATGCAACAACTAAACAAACAAGGCACAGAGGCCACAAACCACAAAGGCAAGGGAGCTCAGCTCTACCGAATACCAACAAGCAAAGCCACGCAATAACAAACAAGCAGAAGGAGGACCACCTCAACTTCTCATGCACACAACGTCTACTTCTAAGATGCACCTATTCAGAACTATCTAGATGAACACCTAAGTCTAATGCAACACAATATCACACAAGTCAAACAACACAAAGAGACTAACCCTGAGCAGGGCCTCTAACAAACCTGAGACAACTCCTGATCTATCTCTAAACAGAACTCTATACAATACCCTAAGCAGGGATCTAAGCAACAACTCTAATCCAAACCCTAAGCAAGGATCTAAACAAACTCCTAGGCAAGAGGAATCAATCCCATTCTCCAAGCTTCAGAACAAGCTTACCAGAGAAAAGGAAGCTAAGCAGACAAGCTCATAGTGCCTTCCTCAGGAAAGTACCAGGAGGTTACTACTCAGGAGTCATATCCTATGCGGCTCGACAACTGTGATCAGTTTACATTCCTCCTCAGGAGAAATTAAACTCACATGAAGGTTCCGGCATCACGGGATACTTGAGAAATACCTATATGCACTAGGGGAACTAAGTGAACAGGCTCATAGGACCTTCCTCAGGAAAGTGCTAGGAGGCTGACACTTAGGAATTGTATCCTACGTGGCTCAACAACTGTGATCAGTTTACATTCCTCCTCAGGAGGAATTAAACTCACAAGTCGGCTCCAACATCACTGGATACTTAAGAAAACCTAGACAAACTAGTGGAACTAAGTGAATAGACCCATAGGACCTTCCTCAGGAAAGTGCTAAGAGGCTTCCACTTAGGAATCGTATCCCATGTGGCTCAACAACATGTGATCAGTTTATATTCCTCCTCAGGAGAAATTAAACTCACAAGTCGGCTCCGACATCATTGGATACTTACGAAAGAGGTGAGAAGAAAGAATGAAAGTCATTCATAGTGCCTTCCTCAGGAAAGTACCATAAACTCCCTTCAAACTTCAGGATCTCGAACCTCACAAACAGACAACAAGCTCCTAGACTAAGCCTCAGTCCAATGCATCTCTGCAAGCTCCAACAGGACCTCCATCAGCTCCCACCTTCAAGAAGAACCCACAGGCCAAGAAACCACAGGAGACTATCTCTGAAGTTCAACCACAGTTGAACTTCAAAGTCAGAAGTCATCAAGACTTCTCCTATCTTCAGGCTCAGACAAATCATATCAGAATATCCTACAAAAATCTAACAAAATCTATGGGGAGACCTACATGGCTCTAGGATAACATACTGAAAAATCAGAATAAAATTCCACATCAGATGAAAGAATTAAAATCAGCAACACAGACATATTCACAGACCAATTATTCAAACATCAATAACAATGAAAAGATGCAGTTAAAATGAAAATGCATGATTGAGCTAATCTTTTTGTACTATAAAATTCTACACTGAATTACGAGTCTACAGAAAAAAGAACGGAATTATTTGACTAATTCTACCATTTTTTATGAATTTTCCTAATGATATGCATGCATTAAAAATATTAAAAACACATCAATTAAAATGGAAGATATGCACAAAAATAGGAAATAAAAATAAAATGTCTTTTTTATTTTTATTTAATTTTCTTAACATTTCTCATGAAATGGTAGAAACAAGAATTATTAAAAAAACCACAATTATTTACATTTTTTATGAATTTCTAATATGAAAAATATAAAAGAAAAATCAAAAAATAAAGGAAAATGCCATGGAGGGTGCAAACAGCAAGAGTCTAGTTATCAATTCCTTGGGCCCTGATTTGGGGGGTACTAAAAGCAATCTGGGGCGCAGGGCCCAGATTCTGAAATCAAACAAATCAAAAAAAACCTATGGGGGGTGCAGCGCTAGCAATATTCTCAGTTGATAATCCATTATGGGCTTAAACCCAGGGGTGCAGATAGCAAATTGGGCATAGGGCCCAATCTAATCGCTCAGACTCACATGCCAGGGGGGGGGGGAATTGAGCAATTTGGGTGTAGCGTTCAGTAGTATGCTTGGGCCTAAGCCCAGTCCAAACCTAATCAGAAAAACCCTAAACAAAACCATATCACTCTCTCCAAATTCTCTCTGGCACTGTTCATCAAGCGCCGTTTCACCATCTTCTTCCTCGTCTCTACTCTCTCTTCTCTGCAACTCTCAAACTCTGAAACTCCTCAGATACAAGCCACAAACCACTTCGTTCACACAAAATGTTCATCAATCCATCTATCACAAGCTACCAAACGATACCTCAGTTCAGATTGTCTCCCTATCCTAATCTTGTTTCACCATCTAACGCAATAAACTAACCTAACTCTTCAGCTAACAAACAAACTACGAAGATTAACAAGTTCAGAGCGAAGAAGAAAAAAACCTGGAGACGTTGTGAAGATGTAGATTTCTGGAAATGGCTTGGAGGACACTTGAAGATCGTTGAAGCTTCAGAAGCTATCGAAGTTCCGGAGGATTCAAGATGAAGGTCTGACGATTTGATGAGTTGAACGATTGTCGTTGAAGCCGCTTGAAGATTGTTGATAATGAAGCCGTTGTGATAAATGGATGAAGATCTGTACGAACTGGAGAAAAGAACGGAGATCAAGAAGATCTGAATAGCTTTCTGGTAATCTCGCTGAAGGAGTTGTGAATCTGGAACCGAAAATGTGAAGGTTGTAATATTGATGAAGATCTGGGCGTAAAACTTGGTTGTTCTTGGATAGAGAAGCAAAACGATGAAGATTCTTGCAAGTTCTCTGAGAAAATGGGCGAAGATCTGGGCGTTACGTTGACGATGATGATTTTCGTGAGGAAATTTTGGACGTTCTGATGAAGCTAGTGGTGGTTCTTGGTGGCGATCAGAGAAGAAAGGGGAAAATTAGGGGATTCTGGGCAAAAATCCGTTTCCGGCGAGTTGTTGCGGCGGCCGGAGACGGTTAGACGGCGGTCAGAGAGGTTTGCATGGCCGACGACTAGTCTCCGGTAGGGTTGACCGGTGGAGGTAGGTGGCAGCTGAGGACTGGACGCGTGGAAGGAGGGAGAGTCAGTGAGAGACGCGTGTGGGAGTTACGTGGCAGGAGGGAGAGTGTTCAACAGGTGAGGTGGCAGAAAGGTGGTGGGATTCTGGGTGAACGTGTGGCGTGATCAGTGCAAGAAACGTGGGGTCGTTCTTTTGCAGACACGTGTCTGCTTTTATACCCTGGAGACGCGTGGAATTCTCTGGAAGATTCTGGAGTGTGCTGGAAATTTGGACGCATCTTGGACCATTTTTTGGACTTCTGAATAATTCCTGGACAAAAAAGCAAACTGGGCCTTAACAAAAACTGGACTATGGCCCATTTCGAAAATGAATAAGAAAAACTGAATAAAAAAAACAGTTAACTAAACCTAATTAACTCTAATCAATTATTAAAAGTCTAATTAACCCTAAATCAATCTAATTAAATCTAAAACATGATTAACCTAATTAAACTCTAAAAAGTCATTAAAACCTAATTAATTCTGAAAATCAATTAAGATCTAATTATTTCTAAAAAAAATCAATTAACCTCTAATTAACTCTAAAAATTCAATTAATCCTAATTAATTCCAAATCAATCTAATTTTCTATTAACAATCTAATATTATTTAATATCTATTAATAAAAGAAAAACCATATTATTTTCTATATTATCTAAAAACATAAAAACCTATAGAAAATTCTAAAAATGATTTAAAAAGCAATTAAACCTATTTAAAAACCTACAAAATTCTAAACTATTATTATCTATTAGCAATAAAAGAAAAACTATATTCCCCTTTTTCTTTATTATTCTAAAAATTATTTAAAATCTTATGTTTTCTGAAAATCTATTTAAAAAAAATTCTATAAAATCCTAGAAAGAGCATTAAACTATTAAAATGTTCTATAAACCTATTTAAATTCCAGAAAAATTTATAAAGCCTATTAAAAATTCACAGAAGCCTATAAAAACCCTAAAAATGCAGATGAATGCAAGTGACTGCCATAAAAGAGCGCACGAGACCAGATTAAATCGAACAGAGATCCCCGGGCATCAGAATATTCTCAAAATCACTGAAAAATCACCGAGGAGCGCACCATTTCCCGAAAATAAAACCCTGGTAATCTGGACTGGGTCTGCCATATCTGATAGACAAAAATCAAGCTGTAAACTCTGATATCCCCTGTTTGCACAAAAATCATCTGTCTGATTGGCGAATATGAAATTAAACCATGAGTCAGATAGGAGAATCAGTTGGTCAAATTTTAGGGTGCAACAGGTACCATAGAGAGGCTCTTTCTATACGACGTGTCTACAACGAGGACATCGCCAAATTGACTACATGAATATCTAGATCTGCCATCAGCCCAGAATATGCTCATGCAATTACCATTATCAACTTCCATGGCATAAAAGAAACCTGTATCTTCAGCTTGTCTTGACTGAAAATACTCTAAAAGCATGTTATACCAATCACTTTTGATGTGGTTTTGTCTACCTCCTCTCAGGACAGGGTAGTTATCTATCCTAAACATGTCGCTGTTCACCATTTCAGTGTTTACCACCTCAGTTAAAATATTAGAAGCAGGAAGACTTGCTGTCCTAGTTTCCTTTTCAGGGACCAGGTCATGATTATGATCTTTTTCAAGACGGTCGACTACCCACTTTCCTGATGGCTGTCTCTTAATCCTTAAATAGGCCTTACAACCAACTCTTGAAGGGTGCTGGAACCCTTCTTTTGAACACACAAAGCGTCGTGATGTAATACCCCCGTCATTTTTAGAACGAAACAATTGACCATTTCGAATTCTAAAACCCTTATATGCTGCATGGGTGTGATAAAATTGGTAGGCTTCAACAGGGCTACTGAACTCTTGACCAACATGTGGTTCGATCCTGGCCTGTCCTTCAAGTTCTTCTTTTCTCAGACGCTTGAAATTAATAACACCAAAAGGAGAAATAGGTTCACCATTGCCTACTTCAAGCAATTTCTTCCTTGGCCTGCGAGTGATTCCGGTTGAAGAATCAACCGTGGCAGAAGCTATCGGCTGCAACGTTGGAGCGAAATTTTCACTTTCATTTTCAAGATTATGGTTATGCTCCTTGTGAAAATGGTCAACAACCCACTTCCCAGAATCATTTAACTGCACCCTTATGAATGCTGGACAGCCAGTTCTTGAGCTGAGCTGATGTCCCTCCTTCAAACACACAAATCTTCGAGAAGAAACCGATCCATTAGTCCTGGACCGATAAAGCTGACCAATACGAACTTTAAATCCCATTCGAGTAGCATATGATATATAATACCTAAGTGCATCATCAGCATTGAAAAACTCCAACCCTACGTATGGATCACAAGAAAAATCAATTTCCTCCTCCCCAATGACATTACTCATCACCAGTTCAGTACCAACAGCATGCTCCTTTACAATCATGATCCCAAATTCTACTACCCAACCGTTTTCAAAGCAAACAAAAGCACATTCCACACGCTAAGAAGATTACACTTATTTCTTCAACATCTGGAATTGGAACATTGATGAATTGGATTGAAAATGGAATTGAGAGAGAGTTGAATTGGGGATTTATCTCAAGTAAAAGGGCTGTAAAGAAATGGTTTCTTCAGATTGAGTTTTGGTGCTCTGAATTTGGAGATGATATGTTTGTTGTTGGAAAATGGGAGCAGAAAGAGATCACAAGTCGTGATGGTCACATGAAGCTTGAGACACAAGTCTTCTTTGCCTCAATCGACCAACGCAATGAACGTGCGGCAGGCGAGGGTGCATGCACGGTTCTTGTTGCAGTAATTGCTAATTGGTTCCAGAACTGTCACGATCACATGCCTCTAAAGTCCCATTCCGACACTCTAATTCGAGATGGCTCCTTAGAATGGAGGAACCTATGCAAAAACGAAACGTATAGAAACAGGTTCCCTGACGGGCATTTTGATCTTGAAACAGTCGTTGAAGCAAAAATACGCCCGCTTTCTGTTGTTCCTGGCAAGTCCTTCATTGGTTTCTTCCATCCAGAAGGAATGGACGAGGAGAGATTCGAGTTTCTTCACGGCTCAATGTCTTTCGACAACATTTGGGACGAGATCAGCGGTTCAGAACACGAGTGGCTTAGCAATGGCGAACCTCACCTCTTTATTGTGAGTTGGAATGACCATTTTTTCATCCTCAAAGTCGAATCCGACTGTTACCTCATCATCGACACATTAGGAGAGAGGCTTTACGAAGGATGCAATCAAGCATATATCCTTAAATTCGACAGCAACACAGTAACACACAAGACACAAAATGTTGCTCAATCATCATCAGACAATAAAACCACCGGTGGTGATCGGCAAACTGTTGCGCAAGTATTTGAGCGCAATAACAAGTCAGAACAACAAGTTAATAACGGTAACGAGGTTGATTCTATTGCAGAGCAAGAAGACAACGAGGTTGTGTGCCGAGGCAAGGAAGCATGCAAAGAGTACATCAAGAGCTTCCTGGCTGCAATTCCTATCAGAGAATTGCAAGAAAGTTGAATGAGAAGGGGCGTCTCTCAATGCCATCTGAGTAATATTTTGACATCTTTAGGACCTGAGTGAATCCGTCATCATCCAAATCAGTTGAAAAGTTTTGGCCTTCAAGTGATATGTCACAGAGTCTAGCATCCAGCAAAAGTTGTCTAAGAAAACCTTCGGGGCTACAATCTGGATTGATCTTCTTCATAACTATATCTTGCATTTTAAAACAAGAGCAGCACATCGAGAATCCATATTTACTAAACATGCGTAAAATTGGTAAGTATCCATTCCTGTTAAAAGTATTATAATAGCCTGCTGTTACCTCCGATGGATGGGATTGTGTGACATAGTGCCAGTGAATGGCAGCCAATTTTGCTGATATGTGGACTTCTGTACCCCTAAATATAGTTTCAGCTTCCCTACAAATTCTCTCTCCATGCAGTAGCAGCATATCCGAGTACCATTCAAGAAAAAAAATTACCATATGGCATGTTCCAAGAGCCACCCTCGTTTCTAAAGAATTCAGTATGCTCAGGATTTTGGATCAAACTTCCAGCACCAGATGGACCACCATTTCCCCATTCACGCTTTCCAATATTTCGGGCGGAGGCGTTTAGCTGGATAACTAGCATCGATCGGGATTTCCAATACAGAGTTACTACTCGATGTTTGTCTTAAAATACCAGGAAAATTAGCATGCTATCTTCTTTGTATTTATCTGAGAATATTGTAAGCAACAATTCGAGATTCTGTCGGTGAGAACATAAATTGCTCCAGACTTCATTATAGCAGCTTTATTTCTTTCATCATGACAAGCAACACCATATGCAGTGGAAGTTCTAGTGTTGGATTCACGGCCGTTGGCCTCTTTTGTGTAGACTCTAAAGAAATGGATGCTGGTTCCAGTGTCCTTAGTGAGTCTGTCAACAACTGTGAATTTCTCTGAATCATCAAAAAGTCTAACATTATATGTACCAGCACAACATCAGTTTTGATTGACATTTGAAAATTGGATTTTGAATTGTGGCAATCATCTTGTCTTGTTAAACTCTTGACAACCTTCAATCATCCTTTAAAATCACTTGGAAATGGCACACTTGAATGAGCACTTTGGACTTGTATCCTAAAACAAACATCTTGTTTGAACATCCACCAAACCTGACTTGTACAGACAAAATTCTGAATCTTTGATTAAAACTGGGCCAAACTTCTCATAGAACACTGCTTGAAAGCTTGATGAATTGTGATACAGGACAACTTGACCTTGAACAAACACATTGCCTGAGAAAATAGCCCACTGCCACAACCAATTTACACTGAAAGAAATCTCTTGATAGTTTGACCAAGATGAGGTCAAACGTCCATCTGATTTAAACTTGAATGAATGTCTTTGCCATCAATCTCCTTGCAAAACCCTAAACACACAGAGAAGAAGAAGAAACAAAAAAAAATTGAAAAATATTTTTGGTATTTTAGTTAGATGTTAGTAAACAGAAACAAACATAAAGTAAATAAGAAACACAAGGGTGAAAGAACCAAAAAGTATGATCTTGTTTGTGTATGCAAAAATGAAAATGCAATGTGGGATCTTAGGGGTAAAAATTTGGGTATTACAGCTACCTCTTGGGGTTTGACTTCATTTATAAGTCGAATTATGATGGTTCAGCGTCACATTGGTTCTGATTTAAAATATCATCATCAAGGATAAAAGAGTAGAGCTTGGAAAGGAGCTTGCACGCGAAAGTCAAGGGTCAACGGAACCACTCCGTTCGGTAACATTGTTTTTATTTCACTTCTTTCATCTCTTTTATTCAACCTTAGAGTGTTGTGAGCTGTAAGCTTTAGATACATGGGAAATGATAAGTGGGGGGCTTCCTCTCACTCGTCTAGAGTGTTTAGTGTACACCCTTTGGGTGATATGCGACGCATTCGCTCCTACATTTAGGACTTGGCGTGTGCGTCCCGTTTTAGACCTTTTCTCTCGCATCCTGGCGATTGAGACTTTCCCTTTTCTCTCACATTCTGGTAGTTGAGTTCCCTTTTCTTGCCCCCGTGCAATCGAGACCGTCTTCCGTAGTTGGCTGAACTACAGCTGCTCTAATTTCTCATACCAGACGAGAATATGTAGGCATAGGATGCGATATCCTAGCGAGCACCCTAACAACTAACTTATTTGTTCTCTCGCTGTCGTGCGACTGAGACTTTCCCGCTGACGACTAATCTTTCCCTTTCTCTTGCCCTAGTGCAATTGAGACTAGACCGTAGTTCTAGAACCCGTAGGTTCCCATACCTTTGAACCCCGACATACTACGTTCGTTCTACCGCAAACAGGTAACGCCTAAGTCCCAATGGTCGAGCCGTATACACCTAATTGCTAGAATGCGTACGCTAGTATCGTCAACCTTTTCTCTCACCCCTGTGTGATCGAGAACACTTTTTCGTCCCGTAGTTTCCTGAACTACGTTTTGCTCTGATTTCTCATGCCAGATGAGAATACGTAGGCACAACACGCGACGTCTTGGCGAGCAACTCCCCCCGTATTTTCCAGAACTACTTTGACTATAACTTTCCCATTGCACGAGGGAATATGTAGGCATAGAGCGGCGATGCTCTATCGAGTCAGTTCTTTCCGTTTAGCTTTAGCAGCCGTAGATAGATTGTTTTCACCCATATACTAGACAACAATGCGCGGATCCCGTCGAGTACGACGGACGTGAGGGGTGCTAATACCTTCCCCTTGCGTAACTGACTCCTGAATCCATACATGGTTGCGATGACAATGTCTTTCCCTTTTTCGTCAGGTTTTTCTAATTGTTTCCTTTCCCTCCCTTTAGGATAAATAACGAAAGGTGAAGACTCTTCTGTTTTTTCTGCCGGTTGTTTTTCGTAGTTACGACATTGATGTGTTGTCTTAGCTCTGGCTCGATTCTTTTTCTTGTCAAAGAAGGCATGGAAATAAACACATGAACCTTGGAGTCTCTTGAATAAAAGTCAATCAATTCTTGGGAAACTCTTGATTAGATGATTTGAATTATTTACGGATCAACTTCGACTTTTTTCAGATGAAATTCGCTCGAGCTGAGAGACTGATATTTGATATCTTCGATCCAAATTCTTCCTGAAAAAAGTTAGTAAAGGAAAAACAAACATTTTTTTGGATTTTAACCAATGGTTAGTAAACATAAATATAAATAAATATCAAACAAATAAGAAAATAAAGGTGCCCAGCGATCTCAAGAATAAACCTACAGAGGAAGTCAAAAGAGAACCGAAGCTTGCAATCTTATTTGTGGGATAAGATGAAAATGACATGTGGGATCTTAGGGTTAAAAATTAGGGTATTACAGCTGCCCCTATTTAAGTTTCTTCTATCCGGAGATATGAAGATTGACATCTTTGTCTCGACCAGATTGAAGAGACTTAAATATAACAAATAAACCCAATTTTTGGCCCTAAGAGGCCACAAAATGACATGACTATGCTAAATGGTATGGTATGCAAACACAAGACCTCTGTGGGAAAAAAGAGGCAATAAGCTCAAAAGGTGAAGAAACATTACCAGATACCCGTCACTAGGTATAAAAATATGGGTAATGAACTTACAAGGAAAGATTACCGACTACCAGTCACTGGGTAGAAAAGTATGTGGGTAACTGACCAAAAAGGAGGAGACAAATGCTACCTACTACCTATCACTAGGTAGAAAATAAAGGCAACAAGCTCGAGAGGAAGGATCACCTTTTACCGGTCAAATGGGTAAAAATAAAGGATAACCAACCAAAAGGGGTGAGAAATATTACCTGCTACCTGTCAATGGGTAGAAAAATAAAGGAAATATACTCAAAAGATGAAGAAACATTACCGGATACCCGTCACTAGGTAGAAAAATATGGGTAATGAACTCACAAGGAAAGATTACCG